TATTTATAACCTCCTGACAACGTGTTTTCCATATTTTTTCTTTGATTAGAACATTCATGTTTTCCATAACACTACATAATATTTTTTTAATTTTTTCTTCTTTTCTTATATAACATTTCATATGATCATAGAGGTCTTTTGGTATAATTCCTTTTATTATATCAATGAATGTGATTTGGTTTTTATATTAATTATTGTTATTATAATATTAATATAGGGATAGTTCTAACAAATTATGATCACATTACAAATGGCCAAATTTTGATCCCTGAAATTCTTGGTAATACAAACGTTCACTTTGTCTGCCCCATATGTTAATTAATTAATTGCTTTTGCTACTTTTTAATTTGGCCAAGACCTCTCTGGTCCACGCTTTTCAATCTTGTGTAATCTTGAATCATGGATTGGTCAGTATTTATATAAGAAAAGTCGAAATTTAAGATTCAATCCTTGAGTTTTGTGTACGGTAATCTGCAGAGGAAGAAAGAAATTGTTGCCTTGACGCAGAACTTCCATTGATATCAAAGTAAGTGGTTTCTTTTTGCATAGTCACCTTTGTGTAAACTTTGAAAAAAAAATTAACTCGACTTTTTGAAACTGGCTATTTCTGAATTACTTTTAAAGGATAGTTGTAATGTTCGTTCTCCCCAAGATCATATTGGGGTGTATAGTGATTGAAGTGAAAATCTTCACTTTGATTCTGATTGTATCTGAGATAAATGGGCCAAAGCTCTCTTCACTAAGATAAACGTAATAGCAAGTGTAACATCTACAATGATTTAATTTAGAAAGAGTTAGTTCACTTGGTTGCGCCACAGCAATCCACATGAAATTATTTTTTTTGGCGTAAAAGTTAAAATTGATTATTACCATAAATAATAATAATAAGGGCAAAAAAACTAATTCAAATTCCGGTTAGTAAAAACGCGTCCTTTTTAATTTTTATTATTATATGAATATGTAATTATTATCAATTTTGCATAAAAATTAATCTTTGGTAATATGTAGCTCTTTTAGATGATGATGGTTGAAACGGAGTTGGTGTGAATGAGAAGGCACATCCACTAGGTATTATGTTCTCTATCATTTATATTAAAAACCACATCTTTTCATTATTTTCATTGATTATATGTATCCATTAAGAAGCTTTTCACTTTTTGGCTATCTATTTCTCAAATGCGGTTAAGTTTATTAAATTCGTCTCTTTGTATATGTGATTTTTTTGTTATTCGCGTAACAATTTTTTCTAATCATTAAGTAATAGTTATGAAAAAATATGGGGGCGGCTATTTATATGAATCGAATTTAATAAAATAAACTATTGTCTTGGGTCTAAGATGTGATAATAATAAATAAAAATAAAAAGCAAAAAGGCTTACGTTGCATTCTCAGTTGTAAATTTGTTAATAAAAAAACCCCCGTAATGATTTATCTTTATCATTCTAACTAAATATTAAAACTAAGTAAATCTCTGTTTGCTTTGAAAAAAGGTTTTATTATTTGCACGATAAATGGTTTATCACCAAAAATATAATACTATTAATAATAAATAATAATAAAATACGGGTAGGCCATTATATTTTCGGTGACAAATTTCGGATGTGATAAATATTAATCGACAAAAAAAAGGCAGAAAAAATCACAACTCAAAAATCACTCCTATTAAAACAAATATAGCATATTATTGTCTCTTGATTTTAATGAAAAAAAATCTTTTTTTTTTATTCATCTTTAAATAAATGATCTATATGATTATTATAAATTAATGTCTTTTTCTTCCTAGAAACTTTTTTATCATGTGGTTGTCTCAAATGTATTTTTTTCCTCCAAAAATGAAATAAATAAAAATCACAACAATAATAGACATTGAAGCTCATGTATTGGCACAATTACTTCAACTAGAACAAGATTTAGATTTAGTGGCGTTAGAATTGGACTAAAAACTGCACAATAAAAAGGAATTTCAGTTGTAATTTCTATCACGATGAATCAGCATCTTTTATTTAACTATCCAAATGCCTGGAACAAAAGCTATTGATATATAATCATCAAGAAGAAAAATGTTGTAAATCATTATCGTCACTCATCATTGTATGTAAAAGAAATTGCTATTAAAGATGAGGATGACTCAATACTAATAAAAAAGACTATTTAACTAGTGAAGGGGCATTTCTGTTAATTATTAAAGGAATTGGCGTGGTTTAATCAACCACAGCTAATGAATCTCTTGGAGATCATGAAAATGTTGTTTCATCATTAAAAGAATTTTTAATAAATAGAAAAAGAAGAAAAAACAAATTTAAATAATAAATACATGTGTGTATGTTGGTATGTATATATGCTCAAGTGAGTAAGTGTGTATATATAAATGAATAATTTATTAAATTATTAAATAATTTATTAAATTATTAAATAATTTATTTAATGCTTTAATAATCTAATTGTTTTTTTATAAAAACTATCATTCTTCTTGCTATTCTCAATCTCATTTTTATTCTTGCTATTATTATTATCAACATCATCATCTCCATATTTTTCTTTGTATTGCGTTTCAAGGTATTTTTGATATTTTAATAATTTAATTAAAGTGATAGAAGATTCACCAAACTTCCAATCGCTGGGGATTCTTTCATCTCTCAAAATACTATCAGCACAATCCACATCAACTTCGTTGTTTGTAGCAGCACCTATAATAGTCAAGAACAAACTGTATTCACCAAAAGCCAAGTTGTTTTGTTTCCACTCATATGTAAAGTTGGTGTTATTACTTTTAGAATCGTTGTAACGTATTTTGTGAATTTTCATGAAAGAATCTTTGGTTATTTTTCCATCATATTGTTGTTGTCCCAGGAATAAATTTATCAAATCATGATTAACTTCCCAATTAGGGCCCAAGTCTTTATCAATACGAGTTATTGATGCATCATGTTCAAGTTTATTATGTTGATGTAAATCTTCTAGTGATCTAATAATCGATAATAATTGGATTTAGATTGGATATCATTTGATTTGATATGATTAAATTGATTATTGGCTACTTACAATTTATTTTTGAATATTTTTCCAAAGTATGAAAAGGTATTTAATGTTTGGAAAATAGCCAAACCTCTTGAAAGATTAAAACCTTTCATTAAACCATTCATCAATTGACATATTGTAATATCTTTTCCATTACGAGGACTATTAGAAGGATTGATTGATTGATTGATTAGTCAATTAGTTAATTAGTTAAATAACTACATTCCACACAATAAATAATATTTATTTATAAATAAATACATGTATCCATGATTTGCTAAACAATTAAGAGCAGGGCAAGGCGATCTTGCATCAGAATCAGTTGGCCTCATATATTCATGATTTGGAGGCATTTTGTGCTTTTATTTTTTTTTTTCTCGCTTTTATTTTTATAAATATAATTATTATCTCCGACAAAAAGAAAATGTAAATTTGTACAACGAACACTCATTTGTATTTTGTGACAGGCAATAATTTTTGTGGAACAAACAATGCTAATTCACAAAATGAGAATACAAAAAGTAATTTTCATTTATGCTTCCGAATTCGGCAGAAAATGTCACTCGAAATTTATTCTTCCCAAAAAAATCAATTAATTGGTTATCAAATGTTGTGTGCCAAACTGTGCCAATATTCAAATCGATATTCTTTGTGTCACAATATGATGCAATGAGTCTAAGCCAAAAATGTTCTACGTGAGAAGTTACATATAATAATAACAATGGTATTAACTCAAAATTGCTTTTTTTCATATCATGATCCGCACCGTTTCTATTGAAAAGCTCCCATATTAATATATTCATTAGTTCGGAGCATCAAGAAAATCTAGCGGATTAGATTTGTATGACAAAAATTGGCACAATGAAACCCTACAATAGCATTTTCATTCTTATGTTCATTTTTAAAATGAATACCCGTTTTAGAATATAGCAGTTACATTTCCTATCAAATCAAATGCACAGAAAAATGCAATCTAAAAAAAAAAAATATAAACAAGAATTCAGCTTTTTTCCGTGACGTTTACCCAAATTTAGAAAACCTTCGTGTATTCTTAAAAAACGCAAAAATTATTGTGATAATAGTAAGTAGGAATAACCCATTAAAGTTTCTTTTTTCTTCTTTTCATTGATCATTTTCAATTCAAACTTGTCTTTTTCCATTTTAAAATATTTACCTTGCAACATTCAGCTAAAAAGATCTAATTTTTACCTTTCTTTGGTTTTTTATTATAACTATCACTGAATTTCGAGGTAAAATAAACATACAAACAATTTCTAGTTTATATAATATCAAAAAAAAAAAAAATATCATGACAATAACTGTAAAAAGTATATCAGATGAGTATGGAGCCATTGGGCCAGTCCGTCGTAATGATTTTAAAGATATTATTGATAATACAGAATTTGGTGGTGGTGCCAATATAAAACAAATTTATATTAACAGAATAGCAGAAATTAAAATTGGGAATTTAATAGACTCTATCCAATTTTCCTATAGTGTAGTGACAAATGACGGAATATCACATATTTATCAAGGTGCTAAGTGGGGCGAGGGTTTAGGAGGTGCTCCAAATGAACCAGTTGATTTTACTGCTGATGAACAAATAATAAAGATAAGTGGCACACTTGTCATAGCCGGTGGAAGGCAAGTTGTAAGATCCTTGTCATTCCAAACATCACAAAGAACACTCGATTACGGTTCAAAGGTAGTAGGAGATACAGAATTTTCTTTTCCTCCAGGTGTTATTTTTGGTAGTAACGATGATGTTCTTTTTTCTATCGGAGTATATGAGATTGCAGAAGCGGAGCAATCAGTCAATACTGTAACATCAACAATTACTGAAACAACGGAACAACTAGCCAAGACTGTAACATTAACAATTACTGAAACAACGCAACAACTAGCCAATACTGTAACATCAACAATTACTGAAACAATGGCAGTACCTGCCAATACTGTAACATTAACAATTACTGAAACAACGGAACAACTAGCCAAGACTGTAACATCAACAATTACTGAAACAACGGAACAACTAGCCAAGACGGTAACATCAACAATTATTGAAACAATCGCAGAATCTGCCAAAACAGTCACCCCTGCAACTACATTAATCACAGATATAGCGGCAACCAATAACTCTGCAACAGAAATTGTATTTGTCGATAATCCTCGAATAATTCTCGGTTTAAGTATTCCCTTAGCATTATTAAGCATACTGTTACTAGCAACTTTTTATTATAAATATAAGAAGAAAGATACCCCGCTCAGAGTAGCGGGTGGTCAACCAGCCTAAACTTTACCAAATCATTTAAATCACTATCTTTAATATATAAAACACTAGTATTTATTCTGTTAAATAATTCATGGATTTTCATTACGATCATGTATGATTCTTACTTTATTCTTTCTTTATTTTATTAAATTAAACACTTTGATTAAAAAGGAAAATCAAGCTTACAACTGAGAGCGCAATGCGAGCTTCTGTTACGCGAGAACAAAAATTAATTTATTTTAAATTGGGTTTGGATCGCATCTTCTTTGTTGCAAAAAACAAAAAAATGACATCATTCAGGCCAAGACAATAGTCTATTTTAAATTCAAAACATATAAATAGGGCAGCCATCCCCTCATTTTTTTTTTTTTTTTGAAAAACTTGAATATTTTCATGAAAAAAAAATCGAATCTTAATCTTTATTATCATCCTCAAAAAATGATTATTAATTGTTGTTTGCTACTTGTTGCTATAATAATAATGCTTTCTCATAATTGATGGAACTTCACATATTACAAAACGAAAATTTTATCTCTTTTTTAAAAATGTTCCTTCTAAATAAAATAAACAATAAAAATTAACAAAAGAGAGAGGTCATGTCACAAAGAGTCAATGCACCCAGCATGAGCCATCAGCAAGAATTCCACTCTCTCGCTTGCTGGACTTTAATAACACATTTAAGTGGGTCACATGGGTTCACCATTGCATGCCTTACCTACTAGTAATGGAAAAATGAGCCACCAACTTTTTTCAAGTTATGCATGGGATATATACGATTTACTTATTTCAATTGAACACGGTTATATTTGAATAATTGATAAAACATTCATTAAATATATTTTGCAAACAACTTCACACGTCTTGCCTTTAACACTTATTTCAATCACTCCTATACAAAATATTGAATAATTGATAAAGCGTTCATAAAACTTGATTTGCAAACTTCTTAGATCTTGTATTTAGCACTTACTTTGATCGCGCCTATACAAACTATTGAATAATTGACAAACATTCATCAATATATTTTACAAACTTCTTTGGAAGCTTCGTACGTCGTCATACATCTTGTATTTAACAGTTACTTCAACTCTACTTTTTCTATTGAATTATTTTGAATTTTTATTTTTTTAGATTGCGCAGGATTACACAATAAAATTATGGAATAAAATTTGTCCAATGAAATGTTGTGCTAAATTCAAGATCTATTTGCAAATCAAGTTTTCCAAAATGAACGTTTTATTATTCATATAGGTGATTTGATCAAAGTAAGTGTTAGTCAAGATCTTATGAAGCTTGTAAAATGAATGTTTATCAATTATTCAATAATCATATGGGCGGATTTGATCAAATTAATCATTAAAGCCAAGATCTATGAAGCTTGCAAAACAAATGTTTATCAATTATTCAATAATCATATAGGCGGTTTGATCAAAGTAAGTGTTAAAGTCAAGGTCTATGAAACTTGCAAATCGAGTTTGCAAAATGAACGTTTTATCAATCATTCAATAATTATATGGGCGGGTTTGATCAAAGTAAGTGTTAAAGTCGAGATTTACGAAGCTTGCAATCCAGCTTTGCAAAATGAATGTATAGACGTGATCAAAGTATTTTTAGTAATAAATAAATAATCAATTCAATCGTCAATTAATTAAAAAAAAATAACCAAATAATAAATTGTAACAAGTCAATGATAAAAAAACGGGACATATGATAATAATAATAATTAACTAAACGGTTAATGATTTTCTAAATCAATGAATGTTTTTTAGCAATAGACAATTAGTTCAGTTGTCAATTAACAAACCAAGCGCATAACGTTTTTCTTAAAAGTAAACAAATCAAATCAATGGTACAATCCAAAAAAAAACAGGGCAAATGATAATAATAGTAAAAATGTTTTTAATAATAGGATGATGCTTTTCATATAAAAGTAAAATAAACAAATCAACAGTATGACCCTCACCACACTAACTAAATATTAAATGAAAAAAGAAAGATTCTTCGCCACCACCATTAATAGCGTATATGATAAAATAAATAAATAACAATAAATTCAATTGTTGAAATTAAATAACTCTTTTTAAATGTAAAATAAACAAAATTTTTTATTCTTACCAAATAGTTCTCTTCGGTTGGAAAAAAATTATTATTGCACGATAAATGTTTATCATATGGAAAAAAGGTATTTAGATCGATTTCAAAAAAAAAATTTTTTTCCCAAAAAATTAGAAATATTTTTGGTTGAAATTGCAATTGCAACCTTAATTTAACATATAAAAGAAGAAAAGGTTGTCGTGTTATGGTTCAATATTTCCCTTTTTTTTTCCTTTTTTTTTTTGTATGTTTCCCTAATCTAAACGACTTTACCCAATTTTGAAATGTTTGGTTGCACGGTAAATAATTCGTTGTAAAGAAGATTCGTGGAGACTTGTAATGGTAAATTCAGTTCAGTTACGGTAACGAATCACCACGAATCTTCTAAACGTCCTGTTTCTCAACTTTAGTAAACTGAATTTTTGGGAAGGATGAAATCAAAATCAAAGGGTAAAACTTTGTGATGAGTCGTTTTTTCTCTTTGCTGCGCTGGCTTGAAATTTGTTAATTAATAAAATTGAAATTTGAAACAGAAATATTTTCGTTTTCCAAAAATGATAAATGGTTGTGATTATTTTTACAATTGCTATCTGTTTGTCATGATTTGTGAAAATGAAAAACTTATCCGTTTTGGTTCAAAATGTCAGAGTTGAGCGAAACAGATACTTGATTGAAAGGAAATCATGTTTCGCTTTAGATTTTTTTACGTGGTATCGACCGCTGTCTACGGTTAGGTCTTCGACTTGCTCTGACGTTTCAGACCGTTCAAAATGACCAAAAACTGATGGTCTTGTCTTGGAACCTTACCTCGGATTGTCACGAAACCGGGTTTCAAAAAGTTTTTATTTCGTTGTCAGTTTTAATGTCCGATAAACAAACAATATGTGCAAATTTTTTTGATTGTTCGTGTTGAATTAAAAAAGAATTTGACCATTTGAGAGATGGTGTGTGATCTGGATAAGAAAAATTTTAATTTCCTTTCAATCTTTTTTTTTTTTTGACCATTTGAAGGATAGTGGATGATCTGATTTCATTTTGAAGAAAACAATAAAATCGTTGATTAATGAAAAATTTCTTTTCGGGAAAAACAAATAAAATACATTGATTGATTAAGAAAAAAAAGCTTGGCTGATTTTTTTTAAACAATCGAAATTTGTGAAGCTTATTCTTCTATAGTGACAGACGAAAAAAAAATCTAATCGATCCAATTGACCTTTAATCTGGGATAAAATAAATAAACACGAGGAAAATATCAGGACAAAAGATTTTAACAATCGAAATTCACAAATGGCTTTTGATCCAGATCATCTAAAAATAGTTTTTTTTTCCTTCGGTGAATGAATAGGATGATAAGATGTTGAATTTGGTTGATGAGAGAGAGAGAGGTTACGATAAAAAAATGTGGGGACGACTGTCCTATTTATATTTTTTTTGAATTAATAAAATAGACTATTGCCTCGACCTGATTGATGTCATTGTGTAAGTAAAAGGCACGAATCTCGTTGTTACGTTTCGTTTAAAAACCTGTTTTTTTATAAAACAAACCATTTGCCTTACGACATAATTTCTGCTAAATATGGTGAAAACGTTGATCGCGCCAAAAACCGAAAAGACCAGGTGGGGCATGGACAATAGAAACAACCCAAACGTCAAAAATCATGATTTTGAGTTAACAGCATTTCTACATGCAATTTATTACAGAGATTAATTTTAGCTTAGAAACCATGTCCACTTAATAAAATTTTGAGAAATGCAGATCTTTTTTTTTCGTGTCCATGTCCCAGGTGCGGCCAGACGCAAAAGGAGACAATCGGCGAGAAACCTGCACGGAAGTCGCACGACTTGCGGGTTTTGGAAGGAGATCGTGACACGGCAAATGTTAAATCTTTTCTTTTTTGTGTTAAATAAATTAACTGGTTATCAAATGCTATGCCAAACTGTACCAAAAATGTTCTACGTGAGAAGTTTCGTTTCTATTGAAAAGCTCCCATATTAATATATTCATTAGTTTGGAGCATCAAGAAAATCTGGCGGATTAGATCTGTATGACAAAAATTGGCACAATGAGGCCTACAATGGCGTTTTCATTCTTATGTTCATTTTTAAATGAATACCTGTTTTAGAATATAGCAAGTTACATTTCTATCAAATCAAATGCACAGAAAAATGCAATCTAAAAAAAAAAAAAAAAAAAGCAAGAATTCAGCTTTTTTTCATGACTTTTACCCAAATTTAGAAACCTTCGTGCATTCTTAAAAAACGCAAAAATTATTGTGGTAATAGTAAGTAGGGATAAACCATTAAAGTTTCTTTTTTCTTCTTTTCATTGATCATTTTCAATTCAAACTTGTCTTTTTCCATTTTAAAATATTTACCTTACAACATTCAGCTAAAAAGATCTATTATCTTTCTAATTTTTATCTTTTCCTTGGTTTTTATTATAACTTTATCACTGAATTTCGAGGTAAAATAAACATACAAGCAATTTCTAGTTTATATAATATCAAAAAAAAAAATTATAAATATCATGACAATAATTGTAAAAAGTATATCAGAAGAGTATGGAGACACTGGACCAAACCGTCATAATGATTTTAAAGGCATTATTGATGATACAGGATTTGGTGGTAGTGGCAATATAAAACAAATTGATATTAAAGGAATAGCAGAAATTAAAATTGGAGAGTATATAGATTCTATCCAATTTTCCTATAGTGTAATGACAAATGACGGAATATCACATGTTCATCAAGGCGTTAAGTGGGGCTTAGGTTTAGGAGGTGTTCCAAAGGAACCAGTTGATTTTACTGCTAATGAACAAATAACAAAGATAAGTGGCAGACTTATCCCAACCGGCGAAAAGAAAGTTATAAGATCCTTGTCATTCCAAACATCACAAAGAACACTCAATTACGGTCTAAATGTAGTAGGAGATACAGAATTTTCTTTTCCTCCGGGTATTATCTTTGGTAGTAGCGGGAAAGTTTGTTTTTCTATTGGAGCATATGAGATTACAACAATTAATGAAACAGTTACCCCTGTAACTACACCTGTAACTACAACTACAGTAATAGTAACCACTAATTCTGTGACAGAAACTGCACTTGTTGACAATCCTCGAACAATTATCGGTTTCAGTATTCCCTTAGCAGTATTAAGCATACTGTTACTAGTAGTTTTGTATTATAAATATAAGAAGAAAAATGCCCCGCTCAGAATACCAGGTAGTCAACCGGCCCAAATGATTTAAATCGCTATCTTTAACATATAAAGCAGCGGTACTTAATTTATTAAATAAGATGCAAAATTTTTCCTGTGCGATTTTTGATTTTTTTTAATTTACATTAAGAAAATATTATTTCTTTATTTTTTTTAATTTTAACACCTTTGTAGATAGATATTCTCATCGCATAATTATAATTAATTGGCTCGCAGAATTCAAAATTTCAATTAATTAATAATAAAAATAGAATTTTATTTAATTGCTTTAGTATACAGTACAAAAGGATCGCTAATACTGATATTACTGAATTTTGATTATTATCTTCGATTTACATACAATTAATTGGTTTAGTTAAAAACTATTACTGGTGAAGTTGCGTTTTGACTAAATGATATAGACATTCCATAAATTAAAGGTTGTTGGTTCTTTTTGTTTTGATGATAGTAAGTATTTTCCTCGAATGTTCAAATTTCGATTGTTAATATTTCTGACAATTTTTCATTTAGTATTATTATTAGATAGATGGTGTTACATCAAGCTGGATATTTCACCAGGAATGTGTTCAAAAGTTATGGCAAAAAAAATGTTCTGTAAAGACTTAAATAGTATATATATCAACGTGACAAGGTTCCGGAACACACCACTAAAAATATTCCTTTCCACGTCTCAGGAAGTTGTGTGTTAGATAGAATTTATTAATAAATACATACGTAATTGAGTGGACTTTTTCGAATCCAAAAAGTACTTATATATTGATTATTTGAAAAAATCGTGACAAGATTGAAGAATATTGAATCGAGGTTATTCAAAACAATGTCACAAGCATTTTCGTCATTAACACATTCTTTCACAGCATATTCTTCGTCGTCAACACGTTCTTTGTCACTTGTCATCAACATCTTTTTTCTCCTTCTCTTCTTCGTCGTTGTTATCTAGTATTAGTTTCCAAAAATATAGAATTTCGCAACTATGTAAAAATCAACTGCAAGTCGAAACTAGTTTTGGCGACCAACACTATTGTTATCACCACAAGTACCTTTGGCAAATGATGATAATAAAAATTTATCAAATAAAAGTAAAAAAACTGACGTATACTTTTGCACAGCAACAACAGCCTGATGAAATGAAAATCTTATGGTCAAACAATACATCAACAATAACAAGAAGTAGTGAAACATCCTTTATAAATTTAGGATCTTAATCATAATGTTTTTATCAAGGGAACTTGCTAGATGCTGTTATTACAAGTATCTATGTTAATATGATTTCAACCGAAAAACCATTTCCGCAATCAGACCAAAAAGACAAAAACAAATTACAGTCGAACCTCGTTATAACGAAGCATAACTTAAATAATAGTAAAATTCTTATAACGCGACTATAGATGGGTGTCTAAATTGTTTTTGGGGTTGTCTAAAGTCAAAATAGTATTTATTAGACAATAATGTCCAAATGTCTAAATTAATATAAATAAATAGTAATGATTTGTTGAAAACTTCTTTTGCTAAGTTTCTTTCGGCTCATATATAGTAAAATTTTCAATGGGTGGGCATTCCTTTTTGGAAATTTGCAAAGTTTTTGTATCATTTATTATTATATTGTTATATCGTCATTGTTCCTTGATATTTCAAATTTAGTTCCTTCGATCCTTTTTTGCTTTTCTTTTGTCTGCCTCAGTAAAAGATGAACTTTCAGCCGATACCCTTTTTAATTCCTATTTCTCGGATGATTCAACCTTTAATTTATAAACTCTTCATTTTTTTAAACCTTCCTTTCTTTTGGTTCCAAGTTTTGTTTAATTATACGCCTTCTTTTCTCATTTCTTAATTTTTCTCCGGTTTATCGAAAAAAATATATAGTTGCCAATTGGTATTTGGTAATTTGGTAGGTTTCCATAATATTAGTCGCACGGCATTTCCCGCCCGATCTATAGTAATAGGAGGTTGTAAAATATAGTAAAATTTGGATGGTCTGCATCATAGTAAAATTCGAATTTACATAGTGAAATTTTATAATCGAATGTCTTCACACCCTCGTTTGAAACCCTTGCTGTGTACCAAATTTGAGATATAACTTCTTTATCATGGGTATCTGCTTTATGAAAAATTTTAAGGCAGGTTGTTAATAAAACCAAAAATAATCTGACCCTCAAAGTCAAATTTGCCTTTTATACTCATATATGCAGAAATTGGTTTGGCGCGTCCAATTGCAAACAAAAGTAGAAATAAATGCCCAAATATTAGATTATTATGAACATTTACAGACTCTTGATCACTTGGGCATGTCTTTTATAGTAAAATCATTTATTTTAAAAATCAATAATATTAAAAAGATAATATTATATAAATATGGTTTATGGTTTTTTATAAAAGTTATTAAAAATTCCTTTCATGTCTTATTCCTACAATGATAAATGTAATTAATGATGATTAAGTAGTATAAGCAAGCAATTATAATGGTACCAGGAAAAGAAGAGAGATGCAAAAATGTTGTTTTTTGTGTATTAAATCAAATCAAGGAATTTTAATGTGAGTGGTTAACTGTCAACGATCTTTAAAGTCTACATAATAACAACATATGATTTTTTTGGTTGATGAATGATAAAAGTTTGGCTTTCAAATGAATCTAAGATCATCAACTTATTCCAAGGATTGATAGAATTACAAATTTTTTAAATTTTAAATTTTTGGGTGTAAAAAAAAATCCAAGACTATTTTATACACCAACGAATGGTAATCATGTATAAGTATAACATATAAATTGTGAAGGAGAGGTTACAAAGTTTTTTACTGAATTTTGGTGAAGATTAAAATCAAATGATAATTGATTAATTTAATTTAGGTGTAGATTGTTGATATTTTAAATTGTTGACGATCTTTAAAGTCTACATAACAACAACATACAATTTTTTTAGTATGATTAATGATGGAACTTTAGCTTTCAAATGAATATAAGATCGTCGACTTATCTCAAGAATTGGTAGAATTACAAATTTTTGAACTTTTGGACTCGAATCAGTTGAAAAGGTTTAAAAGAATCAGATTAATTTAATTAGATTGTTGATATTTTAACTTTCCGACGATCTTTGAAGTTTACATGTATAAGCATAACATATAGATTAAGGAGGTAAGACTAAACAGATTTATTTCAATCAATTGAGTTTTGAAGAAGATTAAATCAAATGCTAATGATTATCTAATTTAGGTATAGATTGTTGATATTTTAAATTACCAAAAAAAATTAAAACAACAATATGTGATTTTTTAATATAATAGATGATAGAATTGTAGCTTCAAAGATTGTTGAGATTAAGGTTGTAGGCGAAACTCCTCCAGAAATCAATTGACAGAATTTTGACAGTCACTAAGAGGTTTCGGCAGTTGAAATATTCCCAAAATTGACTTGATGTGAAAATTTTTAAATAATTTCATGACATAATAAAAATTGTAAAATTTGAAATTTTGTTTCTAATTGAAATATTAATATTTTTTTGATTTTAAACTGTCAAAGAAAAATTACCACCCCAATCTAGGAAGGAACAGCAATGCTATATATTTTTTCTCTCTTTTTCTGTTACGCATTCTCTTGTGCATTGATTGTGCAAAAATGGTTAGCAAATATTTTAGTCTTAGAACAAATGATCGTGGCTTGTTCTATTGTGTCAGTGGCTCATGTTACTTTCTAAAAGTGGTATATATATACATTTCTGGTTCTGCACACAGCCTTTGAACCTAACTAAAATGGAACATCTTGGAATTTATTATTATCATTGTCATTGTTATATGTTATTATTCCCCCTCCCCCCGTTGTTATTATTTTTATTATTAATTTTTTTTTGTTTTTGTTATTATCATTTTTGTTATTGTTATTGTTTTGTTGCTTTACTTGACGCGTTGTTGTTCATAATTAATATTTTTTTTATAAAAAGCTCTTCTTTTTCCTTTTCTTTTTTACAACAAATTACAATATATATAGAAATTAGAACCAGGGACCTTCCTCCTTTCTCCTTCTTTACCACTGCTGCTGCCCTATTTATTACAAGGCAAGTCTTGGGAAATGTATTTTGATTATTTAACTAGATAATAACCTTAGGGCCGGTTCAGGAGCACTGGGTTATTATTGTAGTTAAAGAGATGGGTCTTAGGGCCGGTTCAGGAGCACTGGGTCCATTGCTAAAAATTGGGGTATTTTTCCTGGATTTGTTTAGTCATTCATTTGACTAACTTTTTTTTTTCATTAATTTTATTTAGATGCAGTGCTCCAGGTGCCGTCAACAAAACACAGAAAATGCTACCCTTGGTTCAAGAGAGAATTAAGATCTTTATTTTTTTTTATTTTAAAATTTATTAAATAATAAAATTAAAGTTCACTTAATTATTTGTGTGCAATGTGCAATTTCATATGATTTTTTATCCCTTGTAAAAATTAAAATTATATTCCCAAATAATAAATACATACTTTTTACTAAAAATATATTACATGGTAAAACAAATGAAATGAAAGCAGTCGATTGGTCAATCACCAAATTGGATTGACGTTCTGTACATCATATTCTTGAATATTTTGTTTGTTGGTGACAAATTCATCACTGAATAATTTGCGTGAATATCCTCAACTATTTTGCAACTTTATATTATAATCATGTGATACAATCAGTTTATTGATTAATAATAAGAGTATTTCAGCAAACATAATTATAAAATCTTGTACTTTACTTTTTTAATTTAATACAATTATCAAACACTCCCATTAATTCCTGGTCTAATTCATTGTTATATGTAGTATAAATAAATTTTCTAAATTTTTGCAAGATAATGAAACTGATTTAAATAGCTTTCTTGAAGATTTATGATCATATTGTGAATCATTATTATTAACATCCAGATTTTTAGTATTTTTTCCATTTGTATTAATAAAATCAGACAAGTCAAGAACCTCACAGCTTCAATATTTGGAAATGAAATATTTTTCCAACTTTTTACTTTGCCAGAATAAGATTTTAACCCTAATGTTTTTAAATTGTTAAAAGTTGATACATAATAATAAATCATCTAAATTATTTTCTTTGCAAGATCCATAAAAAATTATTGATTGTGAGTGTGTTAATATTGCTTTTTTTAATTCACCTGGTAAAATTGTGTTTCTTTCTGATCCAATATCTAAATATTTAATTTGATTCTGTGTTTTAATTAGCTGTGCTATATAGTTCATATAAATCTTTATCATCTTTAGTAGCATAACATGTTCTTAATGATTGAATATCTTTACAAATATTTGCTAACTTATTAACAAGTTCTCCATTATAAGAACCACCCCAATCTATTCTATAAAGTCTCTGAAAACAAACATCAAATCTATGATGATTAATTAAAAAATTACAATCTAAATAACTAGTATTAAGCCTTCTAATACCTACTGAATGATCTAAAATAAAGTTTATTAATTTATTTTGTAAAGGAATTTTTATCAAATTTCTAAGACCATGACTGATGGAAATTATAGTGCAAAATCTGGCATAGTTGTATAATGGTGGTTTCTCCAATAGTTTAAAAGTAAATTTAATTCCTGTTAGATAATCTTTATCTTCTTCCAATAAGCAATTGATTAATATTTTGATACTGTTATACAAGTAAAATGGATTTCTAGTGACTTTGTCACTATTTTTATTAATAAAAAACAACAAGTTAAATTATTTATTTGAAATAATTAATAATACTTTGTTATTTTTTGATTTTTAATGTTATATAATATCACTTTTTTTTAATTTCTAAATTATTTGTTCAAGAAAATTATAAGCATTGACTGTATTCCTTTATTGTGATATTATATAGGAATATTCGCACTACTTTCCTCCTCTTCTTAATCTCTTCCTTAATTACCATTTCGTTATTAGTTACTATATCATCAATTGATATATTCCCACACAGTTAATGGTGAAATGAAAGAAAATCTATTTATTAAATTTTTAATATCACTTTCTATTATTAAATTAGATTAGCTATATTCACAACCTCTACATTGTCTGGCAAAAGAAGAATATAGTCCTCTTCCAGCAATTATTAATGGTAATTGGAGCAACATTGTCCTGAGCTTCTGCAACAAATTATACAGCCTTTTTAATATCAAATTCTTTAGAGTTTTTACCTTCATGCTATCTATTTTCTCTTAGTCAAATAAAATAAATAAAACATTATCTTTTTGTTGTTATTTATAATCCTTTTCTTGGATGTGAATGCATTTGTCTCCATAAATTCCATATATCTGTTACAATTCATGATGAATATGCATTATATATATTCCTTTTATAAAGGATTAATAAATAAGTAATATCAAGATCATGCACAAACAAAACTTTTAAGGAACTGATTTTTGAAATATCCTGATGAGTAAAAGATGAGAAATTTAACAGAGTTAGAAAACAAAACTCTTGATCTTCTTTTTTGTGTGGGACAATGGTCTCATCCAGGGTGTTGCGGAAAAATTTTTAGTGATTGAGTATCTACTTGGTTCCCTTTTTTTGTGTGTATGTACACTTCCAAATTGCATACAAGTTGTAGAGTTTTTAAAAATCATTTCCAAAAAAAAAATAAAGATAAAATAAGTAGGCAGAGTTGGCATTGGACAACATCCTGGATATGTTCAAGGTATATTGAACTTGGCATTCTTGATGATAATAAATCTGATGATGGTGGTTGGGGTAATTGATTGTCATTTTGAGTTGATGATTGGAGTTGGAGTTGCTCGGGCAAAGAAGGTTGTGGTTGTTTGTGATGTTGTTGTTGATCCTACATTTAATGGAATTATGTATTCAATCTATGGTTGCAGGGTAACATGTCAACCTTTATCACATGTGTTAGATTTAATAGGTTTCCTCATTCAAACATACAAGCACTGTGCAATTAAGCACTGTGGAATTTCTCCACAGGTGAAAGAGGGATGAACAAGTCGGATGACTTCAGACAATCAAAATGCTTTAATCAATGTTGGCATTTGGCCATTAGCCGGCCAACATTATTGGCCAAAAATGGCCAGAATGGTCAAAACAGCCAAGACAGCGAAAATTTATTTTTTATAAATTGGTGATTTTCCGCAAATCATCATCTGTAATCCATGACCCAAAGGTCAGTCTTTTTAAAGAGTCATCTCATTGGCTCGGGCACAGTGATTCACTCACTAGAGGTGGTTGGCCAAAAATGGCAAAATGCCAACAATAGCTTTAGCAGTCTCCTTTGACAGTGATGTAATTCCCATAAATCCCAGAGCCACATACCCTCTGGAATTCAATCGCACCATTGTATCTCAGGGCAAGCTAGTCAGATTTGCACAAGGAGCAAGAGAACAATTGTAATGGTTTAACTATAAGTCTCCATATGATAATCAACATTGCGTATCAAGTTTCTTGGTGCTTCCAAATTGTCCAAGCACATGCAATTTTCCGTATGAGAGGTGTAGATCTCCAACAGCTGTGTTGCCTTTTTCGTCTCTGATGTTTCTTAGTTTCTTATGATTGTTTTTTTCTAGTCTGACATTCATTTTTATATCAAAATTTTTTAATTCATGATGAAGAAAAAATATCTCATTACTTTTATAATGAACTTGATGATTAATTAATGTAAAGAAGAACTTTCTAACAAATACCTTTTCATATTGAAAAGATGTTCTTCATATCAAGCTATAGTTGTTCAAAGATGGTGTTGCTTTTTCACTTCAAAGCTGAGATTATTCCTAGTATCTAATGATGTATGACAAAACTTTTGATTTTAGTCATTGACGTAACTAAATTATTGACTAAAGGTAGTTTCTCACCAGGACAGTTCGATTTGATGTAATTAAAACTACTTGACGTAATTAAAAATATTTGACACAAGTAAAAATGCTTGATACAAGCAGCAATAATGATAATGATAAAATAGGATTATCGAAAGTGTAAAAATGTGTGCACTGAGACGAATAAAGAATTATTATATCATTCTCTGTATATTGCAATGATGCAAGAAGAATAATTATCATGGGAAGTTTATAAATGTTATAATTTAAATTAGAAATTTTACTTTATTAAATTACTTATTTTTTTCCTCTTTTCTACAAATTAAAACCATTCTTTTATTATTACATTTCATAAAATGTAAATGTTTTTTCGAATTTTTAACTTTGAAGTTAGCTACGCGTAATAGTGATACGCAATAATATTAATAGTATGCTTGAGCTGTCTTTGGTGTC